GGAGAAAGGGGAGCCCCAGACCCACCATGCCGGCTACCCAGCCTCAGTTCGTTGGCTATAGCGATCTAGGGTAGACATCATCTCTGGCCTTGGTTTCCAAGCAGAGTTTACCTTTGTGGTGTCCTCTGCAGTGTAATTACCTAAGTGATGAAAAGAAAAGTGTCATTGTGTGTGGTGGCCAGGTGTTCTCAAGAGTATTGAGGCTGCATGTGCTTAGGGGCATCCTTCCCTAAGGGCCCTGTGAGTACTGTACTACCCTTGCGTGTTAGGGTTCTCTTCCCTGGTGCATTCGGGAAGCAATTCCATAGGGATTTTTGCTGCTTGGCACTTACCCCGCCCTTGGGGCCAGCTGGGGTTTCGTTGCCCATTTTGGCCTTGGGTAGGGATTGATATCGCGCTAGTTGGGGCATCATGGTGTTGTGCAGCCTGGCTACCTATGCGGCAGCAGGTTCCTGTTTCCTCTGGGGACATTTGTAATTTTGCAGGGTTTTTCTTTTGTTTTTGTTTTCCTTGCCTGGTGGGGCTATAGTTCCACTTATATTATGTCAGTGGCCCTCTGCTAGGTCCCAGTGATTGTACACGTCATAGGCTTTTTTTTTTATCTCCATCCCCCCCTCCCTTGTTAGCTTTGGGTTTTAACCGGTTAGCAACACCTTGCCCGGGCTTTCCGTAGCAGTCACCCTACAGGCCCTGGAAAACCCTATAGGAGCTTGGTGGACCTGTAGATGCATCTTCCGAGTTCGGGCTCGCCTCATGCGAGTTTGAAGGTTTCCGTGTGCTCTTGTCTCAGGGTGACAGTCACTGTTTTTGCCTCCGTCATGCTGCCTGTTGGGTCAACGACACCTTTGACTCGAAGTCTTGCAAGTTATAGTCTCTGCATGTTCTCCAGTTACCCATTCTGATAACTTTGATTTGCGAGTACATGTGGCATCCGCATTGCATGCTAGGCTAGGTTGCTGCAATGTGCTAGGTTGGCTGTCCACCCAGTTGCCCCGAGGCTACCTAATGTTTTGGTGAGGCATTCGCTCTTCTTCCCCCCCCCCCCCCCCTCCATTCCTGGCTTCGAAATCGGGGTCGGGGCAGGGTTTAGTTGGTGATGAGACTCGGCAACTTCGGGGGCTGCCCCATTCGGGTTGGAGACAGAGGCATTCGAGCCAGCTCCTCCTGGCAAGGCTTCTGGGCTCTACCAGCAGCCCCCCTTCTTTGCTGCCTTTCCTGTGGACTCTGCCTTTTCTTCAGGGGAGGAGGGCGTGGAGAACGGCTCTGCCCCAGGGCCTCTATTGCGGGTTCCCGGGGCTGTGTGGGGGGGGGGGAACCCACTAGCAGTTCTAGGGCTGCTGGCCCCTGCTTGGGCTTTGTGCCTTTTGGGCAGGGAGGGTTTTTTTCGTCCCTCATCTCGTCTGCTTTAATTTCCCACATTTGCTGGCGTGATTTCGGCTCTCTTATGTCAGCCGTGTCTCCTTTTGTTTTGGTGGCCATTTTCTTTTCTGCAGGGTCACTTTCCTGCGGGGTCGCTTTCCTGCCTGGCCGCCTGATGTTTATGTCCCGCTGCAGTTTGTTTGTTGACATGTGCCTGGGAGTGTGCGCTCGCATTTTGGGTGCGTTTTTTCAACTCCGTTAGGAGTTTTATTCTCCTGTTGCCATTTCTCTGTTGTGTCCTTTCTTCTAGGGCATTCTGCACTTCTTCTGTTCCTCTGGGAATGCTTGGGTGTTGGTTTTTCACCCAATTTTGTGTTTTCTATCTATGGTTGGGTCTGGGCCCTCGGTTTTGGGCCTGGTGTCCTTGGCTGTTTGCTCTGCTTGCTCCCTTGCCTTTTATCCCTCAGTTTTCTGTGGGGAGCCCCTATGGCTCCCTGGAGCTTATTGGGCTGATGTATGTTATATTAGACCAGGACATTAGCTAAGGAGTTCAGACCTACCAGGGACCAGAGCCAGAACCTGGCCCCTTCAGAGAAGTTTCAGGGAGCAATGGCCCTGGAAAACCCCCTTGTGGTTGGGGTTTTCCTTATCTGCCATCAACTGGGGTTAGGCACCCAGAAAGGTAGGCATAACAAAGATAAGATAAGGATAGATAAGGAAAACCCCAACCACAAGGGGGTTTTCCAGGCCATTGCTCCTTGAAACCTCTCTGAAGGGGCCAGGTTCTAGTGCTGGTCCCTGGTAGGTCTGAACTCCATAGCTAATGTCCTGGTCTAATATAACATACATTAGCCTGATAAGCTCCAGGAAGCCTCCGGGGCTCACCCAGAAAATGGCGTTTCATTACATTCAAAGCTGGGTTTTTTCCACTTCCGGCCTGCTCATGCGACACGTGAGCCAACCCTTGTCTTTGGACCGGGTTCCCTCTTTACTCATAGAAAACCAGTGTTGAATGTAATGAAACACCATTTTCTAGGTAGTCCTGGAGGCTCCCTGGCACCCTCCCTCCCTCCGGTCAGAAGCTTTTGTTCCATTTAGTCTGTCTCCGAACTAATGGTCCGGCAGTCAGCTCGGTGGGCCGGGACCCTCCCTCCCCCCTTTGAGAGGGGGTTGGTGCAAACGAGCAGCATGCAGTGTGATAACGTATTGCTTGTTTTCTTGTTTGTTTGTTTTGCGGGGAGTTTCTTTGTGTGGTCCACCCTTTGTGTGGTCTCTGGTTGTAATTTTCCTACCAGTTGAGGGTCTGTTTTGGGGCACCTTCCTTTCTGGGTGTCTAACCCCGGTTGATGCCAGACATGAAAACTTTCATACAAGGGATTTTCATAGGCCATTGAGCAAGAATTGGGGAAAGGATGGGTACATTGGGGGCTGAAATGGGTCAGATAGTGGATGGTGGCGGGAAGACGAGTGGTATTTTTAATAAATATTTTATCTCTGTATTTACTAAAGAGGAACTTAATACTATGCCTTCAGCCAACCAAGTCTATATGGGTGGGGAAGAGGATAGGTTGACTAAATGAACAAATCCACAAGTGCCGTGACGAGGATTTGAACCTGCGTCCGGGATCATCCCGGACACTGCCTTAATCGACTGAGCTACGACAGGGTTTGTGCCTTGGAGAGGCTATGGGATCCAGTAAGTTCAGTAGAACTTCGGTTTCAACTCTTTTTAACCCTGACGTAGCTCAGTTGATTAAGGCAGTGTCTGGGATGCTCCCAGACACAGGTTCGAATCCTCGTCACGGCCCTTGTGGATTTGTTCATTTGATGCATCACGTTAATGTGTAATTTCTGTGTGTAATGATAGGTTGACTAGTTTAGCAGTTACCAGGGAGGATGTTATTAAACAAATGGTGAAACTCAAGCCAAATAAATCCCCTGGACTAGACGAAGTGTTTGCCAGGGTGCTTAAGGAATGCAAAGAGGAGCTTTGCGAGCCATTTTCTACCATATTTAACAAATCATTATAGTCAGGCAGAGTGCCAGAGTCATGGAAAGTTGCTAATGTGGTACCAATTTTTAAGAAAGGAGATAGATCACTTGCGTTAAACTATCAGCCAATTAGCCCAACGTCTGTTGTGGGAAAGTTACTTGAATCGATAATTGCAAATGCCATTTGTCTTCATCTTGAAAAACATAAATTAATAAATGATTCACAACATGGGTTTTGAAATGGCCGTTCATGTTTAACAAATTTGCTATCATTTTATTCCAGCATTGTTGAGGCAGTTGATAGTGGTAAGGTTTGTGATGTTGTGTACCTTGACTTTAGCAAAGCCTTTAATACGGTGCCACATGAAAGACTGATTAAAAAGATAGAGGCTCATGGTATTGCGGGTGCTATATTAAGTTGGATTAGGGCATGCCTATACCAAAGGAAACAGTGAGTTAGTATAAATGGGGTTAAGTCAGAGTGGGAAAATGTAAGATGAGGGCCTCAAAGCTCTGTCTTGGGACCTCTGTTATTCATAATATATATAAATGATTTAGATTCAGGTTTGAGCAGCAATATTTGCAAATTTGCAGATGATATAAAAATTGGGAGGGGAAATAAAGACAGAAAAAGATTCTTTGTCACTTTAAGACTATATAAATAGGATTTTGAATGGGTAAAAAAATTGGCAGATGCAGTTTAATGCTGACAAATGTAAGGTTTTAAGGCTAGGTAATGATGATGATAGTTACAAGATACGAGCTAGATGGTGTTGAGATTGCGAAGTCGGATTGCGAAAGGGATCTGGGAGTTATGATTAGTAAGAATTTAAAACCCAAAAATCAATGCATAAATGTTCGTAATAAGGCAAATAGGACACTGGGATTTATTAATCGAAGCATTAATAATAAGACACCTGGTGTTGTTCTTCAGCTATATCTTGCTCTGGTTAGGCCCCATTGAGATTATGTGGTTCAGTTTTGGTCGCATAGTATAGAATGGATATATATTCACTAGAACGCGTCCAGCGTAGGATGACAAAGTTAATCCTCCAAATTAGAAACCTGTCATATGAAGAAAGATCAACAAATCTTAAATTACATTCTCTGGAAAGGCGAAGAATTAGGGGTGCCATGATAGAGGTGTATAAGTGGATGAATGGGCATAACAAAGGTGGATATTTATAGGGTATTAAAAGTATCATCACAAGACAGAACACAACAATGGGTATAAATTGGATAAGTTTAGATTTAGGAAAGACCTGGGTAAATACTGGTTCAGTAACAGGGTTGTTGATTTGTGGAATCAATTACCACCATAACGTGGTGGAGGTGCAGTCCCTTGATTGTTTCATACGTGGGTTGGACATATATATGAGTGGAATTGGGTGGTTATGAATAGGAGCTGCCTCATATGGGCCAATAGGCCTTCTGCAGTTACCTTTATTCTTGTGTTCTTATTGCTCCCTGTGCCTCTGAGGGGACCATGTTCTGGCTAGTGGTCTTCATTAGTCATGACAACTCCCTATGACTGAAGCCCCGAACTAATATTAGCTAATATCAGTCCAATAGCTCCAAGAAGCCTCCTGGGCTTTATTCAGAAAATGGGGTTTCAGTACATTCAACGCTGGTTTTTAATTTGCTTTCAGAGATGGATATGATGAACGGTGCACTATGAACAACTACTTTGGCATTGGTATCGATGCTAAGATCACACTAGATTTTCACAACAAAAGAGAAGAACATCCTGAAAAATGTCGCTCAAGAACCAAGAACTTCATGTGGTATGGTGTTCTAGCTTCCAAGGAATGGCTGTGTGTATGTATAGTATGTTTTTTTTATATACAATGACTGAATATTTTGTTTAATTCATAGTTACATTTTTCACATTATATTACATATATGCTTAGTTTAATGCTGGAATCTCACTGGAATGAACTATTTGGAAGTATAGTTCTTGCATAGAATAGAATAGCATGTCCAACCCATAGCATAGAATAGGAAGTATGTCCAACCCATATCGTGGGTTGGACATGTATATGAGTGGGATTAGGTGGTTATAAATAGGAGCTGCCTCGTATGGGCCAATAGACCTTCTGCAGTTACCTTGTTCTTATAGCTTAACTCTTTGCAGAGGTATTCGGCTGGTCTCCCATGCATGAATTCCCTGAACTATAATGCAATGTGCCCTAGAATACACAATATTCCACACATTATACAAGATGTATAATGACCCACAATACACAAGAAATAAAGATTCAGATTGAAAACTTATGTTCATTTTAACTGAAAAATAGAAAAATAGTCCTGGTTGTATTGTTTAGTTTTCCTAGTGGGTCATGAAGGAATGCTTAAAAATTCTCTGTGGTGCAGTGCTCTGTCACCTCTGTTTGATTATACAACCTGATGTCCAAAGACACAATTCTATCTTAATGTTCAGTATATTGGATTCCAATACTTTCTGCTGCATAATCTTGTAATGGTCTCATAATCCATGTTCAGTATAATCTTGAAAACATCCATGTGTAGCTTTTTAAGAATTGCATTTAAAATCTATGTAAGTATGATTTCAAGACTATATACACAATCCATGTGAGGCAATTACTAAAATATGTAAGAGCAACATGGAATCCACATCTCATAAGAACAGAAGAAGACTATTCTTCTATAAACAGGACTATTACAGTGCCAGAGCTGAGAACAAAGTAACAAGAAGAAGAAAATGAAACTTGATCTCACAACTCTTCAGGAGAGAAGTAGCAGAGAGAGAGAACATGGTCCCTACTTAAAGATGTGTAATGGTCCCTACTTATAAGATGCATAAGAATGTAAGAATAAATGGAACTGCTAAAGGCCTATTGGCCCATATGAGTCAGCCCCTATTTATATCTACCCAAACTCATTCATGTACAGTATGTTTAACCTATGTTTCAAACAATCCAGCATTCCAATGTCTATTATGTTACTCGTGAGAGAAGATTAAACAAAGCGGACAAAAACGATTCTTTAAGTTGAGAGAAAATAGGACAAAATTACATCAGTTGAAGCCATAAATGAAACGTCTTGTAAATGTAAGGAAGTACTTGTACCTTGTATTGGTAGTCATCAAATGGAATGAACTGTGAGAATTGATCATGGAAGCCCCTTTAATCCAGAATTTCAAGAACTGATTTGACACAAAGCTTGAAAGTCAAAAAGATTTAAAATGTGTGGAAGGTATAATAAGCTAGGATGCAGAGCTTAAAGAGCTAGATCTCATTCTCCAGTGATAATTAACCCTTAACATGCTAGGGGTATAATATCCTGTCTTCCCCACAGGCGCATGTAATTTTGAAAAAAAAAATTATTTTTTCTTCCTAACCTGTTAATTTGTGTTCACTGATCACGGGGAAAATAATAAAAAAATCGTAAGTGGCATATATTGCCCGCTATAGGGCGGGGAAGTCTGGCAAAAAATAGGCGCTGACTCGGCATGCGTCCCAGGCAGTCTGTTGCTCGCCAGCTGTCAGGCCGGAGTTGCCACAAAGAGATAATTACCTAATTATTTCAATGTCTCTGATTGATTTTTCATAGTTTTTTTGCTGTAATATTATTCAATAGTGTGTAGTTTGATATATTTATATAATAAAATGAGTGAATCATTGCTGTACTCAAAAATATGGTGTGCATATTGTTGATTCAATTATGTTCATCAATCAGTGAACAAATACTTTGTCGGTTATTACACTATAAGCACAGGTTATATATAAGTATCTGCATGTTTTGTTCACTATAACGAACCACTAAGTAGCTATTATGAGTAAAAAAGTAACAAGGAGTGACCGCCGTGTACCAGCGAGTCACTCACGCCCTCCCTCAAGTCATCTGACTCACCCACATTCTCCTCCCACAATACTGTTTTTGCTATAATTCACTATATACAGACGTTATATATAAGTATCTACATTCGTGTTCACTATAACAAACCACTAAGTTGGCATGCTGAGTGGCAGTGCCAGTGGCAGCCACTGGCACTGGCACATTTTTACCACAAGCTACACAAGCTTCCTGGCAATACGTTAGTAATGAATAAATATGATATGTTAGGTTAGGCTGACCTAACCTAACCTAACCTAACCTAACCTAACCTAACCTATCCTAACCTATCCTAACCTAACCTAACCTAACCTAACCTAACCTAACCTAACCTAACCTATCCTAACCTAACCTAACCTAACCGATGCTTGGATCGTCGACTTGATTTGGCATCACCAGCTTTTTATTTTCGTCTAATTTCTTTATAAAAAGATACTTTTTCAGATTAAAATTATGTTTTTTCGTGTTGTACATTCAGCACCAACATTATAATGAGTAAATATATCATATTTATTCATTACTAACGTATTGCCAGGAAGCTTGTGTAGCTTGTGTAGCTTGTGGTAATTAGACGGACCGTTTTCAGGTGATGCTGTAGTCACAAGCTGAACAGCAGTGCTGTTAGCTCATGCTGCGTGCGTCAGGCTTGGTTGCTCACTCAATACTGAGGCCAATAACACCCAGGAGTTTGGCCCACGATTTTTTTTAAAAATGGCGTCTGTTTACAAGAGCCCTGATGAAGGTGTGGTGAACCCCGTGTATCCGCGGGCCGTTTAAATCTTGCGTAGTACTCCAACACGTCATATGACGTGATGCGTAGTTGACTGGAACAACTTCCAACACGTCATATGACGTGAAGCGCACTTTAAGGGTTAATTGGTAAACACAATTTACTGTAGAATACAGGCAGTCTTCAATTTGTGTGAGGTTACATACTGGTAAATCCATATAAAGCAAAAGCTACACACACACACACTTAAAAGTAACCTATAAGGAAAAGTAGTTATGCCCCAGAGACATCCTAAAGTTTACAATTTTCCCATCTCATGAAATTTTCACAAATTTCTCACAATTTTCCCATAATAAAAAACCAATGTGACTATAAATATTTAATTCTTCTCTCACTGTCCTGCAATAACTACATTACCTAATGAAATCCAGAAAGTTTTGGATGTGCAATGAGGCAAGAATAAAATCCTATAAGTTTGTAATTCTTTGCTGGTGTGACACCTATCATGACCATGCAGGGACACGTGAAATATTTCGTGTAGCAATAATACCAATATGTTTTTGTGACTAACTACATGATTATGCTCTTTGGGAACAATAGGTCATATCTTAGGGAACAAATGAATGATAACCTGAAAAGTATGCCTTTCTTCTAACTCAAAATCTTATTTTTACTGGTGTTTAGAAAACCTACAAGAACCTGGATCAGCGTGTGCAGCTGGAATGTGATGGAGAAAGGATTCCTTTACCATCACTGCAAGGCATTGTTGTGCTTAATATTCCTAGGTGAGTAAATACAGCATGTTTCTTTATTCCTGTTTCTGTCAATGATCATCTCCAAACACTGTAGTCACAGTTTATATGTAAGTGTATATGCCAAGAAATTGTTTAAGATTGAAATCAAGATAGAAAAATCCTCAGAACAATGAGGAGACCTTTGACAAGCTGCTGGCTTCCTGTACCTGTCAAGGCCACTTGACAGACACTGGCTCTCAGGTAAATTCAGGTAAATATTCTTCTCATTTCTTGTACAGTTCTCTATTCTCATTTCTGGCCTTGACCACTTGCCTAAATATATTCATCCTCAATAACTTTTTCTGGGAGGGATCTTAAATTGGCCGTCTGGTGCTTGTTTGACAAACTCTAACCATTTCCATCCATGCCAGGCCCTTGTGAGTCATATATAAATCCATGGGGGGGACTAGAGGCCTCATCTAAAGAGGAGCAGGGTATTGTAGATCTCCCAAAGAACAAGGTCTTAAAAAACTGGGAGAAACGAAATAGATGACAACAAGATAAACAAAGCATAGTAAATGAGACAGAGAAGGTCGAGATTCATGACCCACTTGGTGGTGATTGCCCACGTGTAATTACCTAAATGTAGTTACAGGATTAGAGCTATGCTCTTGGTGTCCCATCTTCCCAGTATTCTGTCATATGATGCTTTGAAACTACAGTACTGATGGTTTTGGCATCCACTACCTCCTCACTTAACTTGTTCCAGCCATCTACCACTCTCTTTTCAAATGAGAACTTTCACATTTTTTGGGGCAGCTCTGTTTCCTTAGCTTGAGTCTATGACCTCTTGCTTTTGAAGATGTAGGTTTCAGGAATTATTCTTGAATTAAATTCCTTTTACTATTTTGTACGTAGAGATCATATCAGCTCTTTTCTTCTATCTTCTAGCTTTGGCATATTTACATCTCTAGTCTCTCCTGGTAGCTCTTGTTTTTTCATTTCCAGAAGCCATTTAGTTGCATGTCTTTGCACTTTCCCAGTTTATTGATGAGTTTCTGGGGGAGCCCCGTCGGCTCCCCGGAGCTATCTAGGCTGAATGGATATGTATAACTTTCTGGCATCAGTCAAAGTGTTTGGAGTTATTGCCTACTGGGGACCACAAGCCAGAACCTGGCCCCCTCAGAGAGGCACAAGGAGCAATGACCTATAGAAACCCCCCTTGTGGTTGGGAGCATTCTATGTTTGCCATCGACTGGGATAGACACCCAGAACAGTAGGCATCCCAAAACAAACCCCCTATTCTGGTGAAAATATTGCTACCGAAAGCTGAATGAGTGGACAGAACTCCCCAAACAAAATGATCAAACTAGCATCACATCGTCACGCCGCCATCTGCGCAACCTGGGGAAGGGGGAAAGGGGGAGCCCCAAACCCTCCGCGCCAGCGGAAGGTTCGGGGCTCCCCTTCGCAACGTAACTCAACGCAACTCAACGGCTCCCCAACGCTGCGCAACTCCCCCCCCTTCCCCTCCTGGGGAAGGGGGGGAGTTGCACAGACAGCGGCGTGGTGACATGATGACATCATGCTTGTTTGATAATTTTGTTTGGGGAGTTCTGTCCCCTCGTTCGGCTTTCGGTAGCAATATTTTCAACAGAATAGGAGTTTGGGGCGCCTACCTTTCTGGGTGCCTATCCCGGTCGATGGCAGACATAGAATGCTCCCAACCACAAGGGGGGTTTCTATAGGCCATTGCTCCTCATGCCTCTGAGGGGGCCATTTGGTTCCCTCTCAGGTTCAGACTTGGCTGGATCTTGTGTGGGACAGAGAGAGCCAGGTTCTGATGCTGGTCCCCGGTAGGCCCTAGAACTCCATCAATTGACTGTTGCCATGATCTAATACATACACATCAACACAGTATAGCTCTGGGGAGCCTCCGGGTCTCACCCAGAAAATGGCATTTCATTACATTCTACACTGGTTTTGTGTCTTTTGTTCTCTGGCCCCTCTTTCAATTTCTGTTGAACCAATCCCATTTTCTAGTTCTGCATCTGTATTGTGAAATATATTTTGTTGTGCCTTGTGGTTGTGAGAGTACATAACATTGGTGTTTGAGCATTACATTCTTGCAAAGCCATTAACATGTATAGCATTTTGGTCAGATCCTTATTGTAAATATAAAAGTAAAAGTGTTAATAGGTATATTGTACAGTAGTAGAATTTGAGTTCAACATAATAACTGCAATATAAATTGATTTTATTGAGTATTCTTGTGAAGGTTTCACAAGTCTTGAGTACTAAAATTGGGTGAGTGGGTAGCACAAAATACAGTGAGAGTTTAAAGCACAAGGTAGGAAACTATTATTTTATGCCTATTATTTGTATGTCTAATTAGGCCTATTGGTTCTGTTGAATAAATGCTTACCATAAGCGTATGGAAGTATTTTACCTATTGCTGCTGTTGAACAGGATCATGCCATAACAATGATTACAGTATTTACATTCCATCTGACTTTATGTAACTAAGTCTACAGTTGTATTATAATATTTCTTATGCATGTGCATTTTAGCAAATTAATTGAACATAATATTTACTTTCAGTTTCATGGGAGGCACCAATTTTTGGGGAGGGACAAAAGAGGACGACTGTTTCTTGGCCCCGAGCTTTGATGACCGAATTCTTGAGGTGGTGGCTGTGTTTGGCTCAGCACAGATGGCTGCTTCTCGCATCATAAATTTACAACATCACCGAATAGCTCAGTGCTCTAGCATAAAGATCACAATCCTTGGTGAAGCAGGTAATGTTAACCCTTAGACAGCTGCTGGTCAATGGTCATACCCGTCGATGCACAAAAAAAAAAATCCCCCCTCCCAAATTTTTTATTATAAAAGTATTAATTTCTATGCAGAATATAAGAAAAACATGAAAGTAAACCCAACCTAGCCAAACAGAAGGCAGGAAGCAGTTCTGAACCACCAGAACGTGGGTCTGGTGGTTCAGGAGTTCTCGATTGTGAGTTGAAAATGAACCTGAATAATACCAGGACTCTTTAAAAATATTGTACATTGGCAATATTGTATTGTAGTGCATTAAAGTTATTACATTCCATGTTGCAATGTTTAAGGGTTTGTATCAAGTTACATGTATGTCAAATGTTGCTATTGACAGGGGAAGACGGTGTACCAATCCAGGTTGATGGTGAGGCATGGACACAACCTCCGGGAATAGTTCGCATTGTTCATAAAAACAGAGTTCAAATGCTCTGCAGAAATCGGGTGAGTTATTTATTTTGAGGTGAAAGTCATTTAGCTTATTAATTTATGTATTGCATAAATATTATGATTTCAATATAAATTTTAATAAAATATTCTTTTCTGATAATAGTATGTAAATAATATCACAATGTAACAGCTTTTCTTCCTGGATACTGTTATTTTCTGATTGCGTGCGCCTACAAAGTATTGGAGGCACAATGGCTGTTATTCTCCTAAAACTTTACTTTTACCTTTGCCTAAGACAGCTTAGGGAAGATGTTTTGAAGGGATTTAAAAGCTGCCAACTTCTTATCGAGACCTGTCACATTATTTCATGTTGATAGCTTTCAGGTTCCTTCAAGACATCTTCTCTAGGCTGTCTTAGGTCAAACGTCAAAGCCAATTTTGAGGGAAATAATAGCCATTTTCTGTACTTTAGAGTTACAAGCAGTCAGAAAATAACACTTACTACCCAGGAACAAAATATATATATATATATATATATATATATATATTTGTCACTCAGTGTAATCATACAGGATTTCAATTTAATTTAAGCATTTTGAAATAAACAAAATAAAAAGGATTTGCACTATTATCTTCCTTTTATTTTTAGGACCTAGAGGTTTCACTGAAGACTTGGGAAGAGAAACAGCGAAGCAGTGGCAGTCAAACTAAACAGTTGACTTTGCTTGCTGATGAGGAACTGCCCATTCTTGCAACCCTGGCTTCCTCAGTAAGGACACCACATATACTTATCAGTGATCAAACATGTGGTATTTACATGCAGATTTTATTTATTCCTTGCATGCTTCTACAGTAAGATGAGAAAACATCCATAGGCATATTACCTCAAATGGAGCCAGTAAATGACTGACTAAGTTACTCCCGCTGGCTGTTTTTGGATAAATTCTGGTGACAGGCTTGAGCTCAGGATGCTTGGACTTCATCTTCCCGTCCTCACCAGATGCACTCCCATCTCAATGACTGTATCCAAGCATGGAAACATCATCTTCAAAAGGACACAGCTGCATTGGAGAAAGTTCAATGGAGAGCAACAAAAATCATCCTGGAACTAGGTCGGATCTCATACCAGGAACAGTTGAGGGCCACAAAACTAACAACACTATAACCTTGACATGACAGGGCTCATCTCTTTGAAACCTTTAAAATACTGAACAAATTGGAATATATTAATCCAGATTACTACTATTAAAGATCTTATGTAACACACACACACAAGGACCAACTGCTTCAAGCTCAATAACCCAAAATGAATAACAGAAAATGGGAGATGCTTTTTCACCCACAAGTTAATTAACCCATGGAATTGCCTACTCATTGAAGCTGTAAATGTCAGAACATTACTTCAGTTTAAAATTCAGCTGGAAAAATCCTCAGAAATAATCGGTGAACCTTTATCAAACCAATAGCTTCGTGTCCTTGTCGAAGCTACTACAGATGATGGCCCTTAGGTAAATTCAGGTGTCCTTGGTACCTGGTTCCTTCTCACCTATGTATGCTTATTCTCTAGACATCATTTGCAAATTGCTTGAAAAGGTGGTCATTGCAGTAATTCCTCATCTCCATGTGGTGTTCCGATTGTTTCCAATTCTTAAGGTATACTCTTGATTCCTTGGTTTATCCTCAACCCCTCCTTTCTCAGTACACACATTCCTTGTCCAACTTTCCAGATGCTTCCCGGGTTCGACAGGTAATTTCAATTTGGTCTTGGCTAGCCTCCCATAATCTGAAGGATGTTTAATGGCATGTTCCTGTTCACCCTCAGTTCTGGGATCAGTTAAGATTCAAAAGTTAGAAATATATGCTCCTTCTTTTGGGCCTTTCTATTTGTGCTAAACTTGGTGTCCTGAATCTTCACCAGGCTTACCCAGGTGATGCTTTGCAATCTTTAAATTCATAATATTCAAGTTCTGGTGTACTTGGATGACTACTAGTTTGGGCTCCTAGCTGTCTGGGTTTTCTGTAAGCCAAGGATCTGGTGTGTAACCAATTCTTCATTAAAAAAGTCATGCACCCTTATTCAAAGTTTTCTGTCTCAGCTTTTCTGGAGACATGTCAACCTCAACCATCCAGAATTTATCCTGGGGCCCATGATCTGCAAAGGTTCACCATCCTAAATATTTTTTCTGAGAGAAGGGGGAAGCTCTCCCTTGTGGCTCTCTGAAGCTACTAGATTGTATCAGCTGTGGAGTTCAGTTCGGCCTATTGGGGACCAGAGCCAGAGCCTGGCCCCCCCCCCCTCCCCTCACAGAGGTGCAGGAAGCAGGTGACACTCCATCACCGCACCAGGGAAGCTGTTTCATTATATTCAACGCAGGTTTTTCTGTGGGGAGCCCCTACGGGTCCCTGGAGCTTATCAGGCTAATGTATGTTATACTGTATTAGACCGGGACATTAGCTAAGGAGTTCAGACCTACCAGGGACCAGCGCCAGAACCTGGCCCCTTCAGAGAGGTTTCAGGGAGCAATGGCCCTGGAAAACCCCCTTGTGGTTGGGGTTTTCTCCAACCACAAGGAGGGGAAAGCACCCAGAAAGGTAGGCATAACAAAACAAACCCCACATGGTAAAAAACTAAAACATAAAACTGAACAGAGAAGTAGAAACTCCCTACAATCCCAAGGAAACAAGCAAACAAGTAAACATCACACTTTACTGCTGCGCCGATCGTTCACGCAGCCCTCCCCGCCCCGAGAGGGGGAGGAGGGAGCCCCGGACCTACCGCGCCGGCTGCTTAGCATCAGTTCGTAAGCTAATGTCAACCGGGATAGATGCTTCTCTGGCCTCAGTTTCCTAGGCGGTGTTTGCCTTGTGTGGCGTTCACTGCCGTGTGTTGTGTTGTGCGGTAGCCAGGAGTACCTCATCAGTGCCGGGGCTGCATGCGCTTAGGGGCTTCCTTCCCTAAACGCCCTGTGAGTACTGCCCCTGCGTGACAGGGTTATCTTTCCGTTTGGGAACCATTCCCATAGAAGTTCTTGCTGCTCGGCATTTGCCTCGCCCCTGGGGCCAGCTGGGGCTTGGGGCTCTTATTTGGCCCTGGGAAGGGACTGGTATTGTGCTGGTTAGGGCGTCAAGGTGTTGCGCGACCTGCCACCTAAGCGGTGACCGGTTCGTGTTGCCTCTGGAGACGGTGTACTTTTGCGGGGTTTTTCTTTTGTTTTTATTTTCATTTGCCTGGTGGGGGTCTGCCTAGTGTGGCTATAGTTCCACTGGTAGTGTTTGGTGGCCCTCTGCTAGGACCCAGTGATTGTACACATCACAGGGGTTTTCAGTGTTGTCCACTACCCTCTTGTTATTTTTGGGTTTCTTAACCGGTTAGCAACACCTTGCCCAGGCTTCCCGTAGAAATCAGCCTACGGGCCCTGGAAACCCCCTGTCGGGGCCATTGCTCCCTGCAACCTCTCTGAAGGGGCCAGGTTCTGGCGCTGGTCTGGTAGGTCTGAACTCCTTAGCTATGTCCCGGTCTAATATAACATACATTAGCCCGATAAGCTCCAGGGAGCCTCCGGGGCTCACCCAGAAAATGGCGTTTCATTACATTTAACGCTGGTTTTTTCTGCATCATTGTCAACAATTTGTGCTCTCTTAAAGCAACAATGTACAGTATATTGCATAATAATGCTAGGTAGGTAGTTGTAATTTATTCCTGGGTTAATGGGATTCCCTTGTCACTTAAAAAATGCATAACAGTCTTGGTAACTGCTGTAATTATCTTTCATCATTGGAAGATTTTTTGTTTGCAATTATTGTTGTATCCAAAATATTAAATAAATTCTAGGTATTTACTATGAGCTATGCACAATTGAGATATTGAATACAATAGGTGAGGGGAGTGTTGTATTTTCTTACCTTGTGAAGGAAATGTTGTTATATTAAAGGTGGGTGTCTCAGTATTTCCATCCTTGCAGGTTGCAGATGTTGTTAGCTGTGTGCGAATGGCCGCATGTACTACACCAACCTTGGAGAATCACCTTGCAGAATTGGCATCATCGGCCACCACCTGTTTAGAAAAGATTTGGCGTGATGGAAAAATTATTGAAAGTGTAAGCCTAGAAGTTTGCCAATCATGTGATGTTTTTCCATTCATATAGTTTAAGATATCACTTCATACAGTTGTGTACATCATACTCATCACTGGATATTTTTAAGATTTTACTTCATACAGTGTGTCCATCATACTCATTGCTAGGTATTTAAAAAGCACTTCATTCTTCACTCCTTACTCTGCCATATTAATCCTTAAATAAAATATGCTACCCTGGTACACACTACTTAAAAAACAACTAATTTCATATCTTTGAAATGGAATTAACGTGAAACAATAAATAAGTCTATAAATGAACAGGTTTATATACCGTGGTGTTGGCCTGGTGAGAGTTATAATCTGGAATCGCAATCTGCTGACTGAGAAATACTTGTAGTTATGGAGAAATAAATACAGATAGATTTAGCTAGATTGAGATATAGACATTTAGATTTAGATAGTTGTACTGTATATAAATATAGATAAATAGATATACTGTATACAGAGCACCACTTGGTTTCCGAACTTTAGTTATCCGAAACGTCCAGTTTCCCGATTGGGGTTGGGGAGTCATGCTACCCCAACGGAAGGGTCCGCCAAGCGTCACGCCAGCCTTTGGTGGTGTGTGGGATATGGTCCAGTTTGCCCACTGTGACTTCACAGATTCATGGCCTATTATTCCTATTATTTTGAATTGTCATAAGGCTGGAATGTTCATTCTGTGCTTTTGTTTTACATATCTGCACAATCAAGAAACATCTGTGCACCATGTCGGCTCCAAATGCACGCATTGTGTCAGTGATGGCTGACCGGTGGGTGGATGGATGAGGGAGCTTAGGTTGGAGGCAGTATGAGCAAGAGGGGGAAAATCAGTGAGAGAGGGGGGAGAATTAGTCAGAAAGGGAGGGAGGGGGAGGTAGGGAGAGGTGCTAGGAGATAGGCAGGAAGGGAGGGAAGTAGTGAGAATTAGGGAGGGAGGAAAAGGCAGGCAGGCTGGCTGGCAGGCAAGCAGGCTGGCTGGCTGGCTGGCTGGCTGGCTGGCTGGCTGGCTGACAGGCAGGCAGGAAGGCTGGCTGGCTGGCTGGCTGGCTGGCTGGCTGGCAGGCAAGCAGGCAGGCTGGTTGGCTGGCTGGATGGCTGGCTCGCTGGCAGGCTGGCTGGCTGGCTGGCTGGCTGGCTGGCTGGCTGGCTGGCAGGCAGGTAGGCAGGCAGGCTGGCTGGCTGGCTGGCTGGCTGGCTGCCTGGCAGGCAGGTAGGCAGGCAGCCAGCCAGCCAGCCAGCCAGCCTGCCTGCCTACCTGCCTGCCAGCCAGCCAGCCAGCCAGCCAGCCAGCCAGCCAGCCAGCCAGCCAGGTAGGCAGGCAGGCAGGCTGGCTGGCTGGCAGGCAAGCAGGCAGGCAGGCTGGTTGGCTGGCTGGATGGATGGCTGGCTGGCAGGCTGGCTGGCTGGCTGGCTGGCTGGCTGGCTGGCTGGCTGGCTGGCTGGCTGGCAGGCAGGCTGGCTGGCTGGCTGGCTGGCTGGCTGGCAGGCAAGCAGGCAGGCTGGTTGGCTGGCTGGCTGGCTGGCTGGCTGGCTGGCTGGCTGGCTGGCTGGCTGGCTGGCTGGCTGGCTGGCTGGCTGGCTGGCTGGCTGGCAGGCAAGCTGGTTGGCTGGCTGGCTGGCTGGCTGGCTGGCTGGCTGGCTGGCTGGCAGGCAGGCTGGCTGGCTGGCAGGCAGGCTGGCTGGCTGGCTGGCTGGCTGGCTGGCTGGCTGGCTGGCTGGCTGGCTGGCTGGCTGGCAGGCAGGCAGGCAGGCAGGCAGGCAGGCTGGTGGGCTGGCTGACAGGCAGGCTGGCTGGCTGGCTGGCTGGCTGGCTGGCTGGCTGGCTGGCTGGCTGGCTGGCTGGCTGGCAGGCAGGCAGGCAGGCAGGCAGGAAGGCAGGCAGGCAGGCTGGTGGGCTGGCTGACAGGCAGGCTGGCTGGCTGGCTGGCTGGCTGGCTGGCTGGCTGGCTGGCTGGCTGGCTGGCTGGTTGGCAGGCAGGCAGGCAGGCAGGCTGGCTGGCTGGCTGGCTGGCTGGCTGACTGGCTGGCAGGCTGGTGGGCTGGCTGACAGGAAGGCAGGCAGGCAGGCTGGCTGGCTGGCTGGCTGGCTGGCTGGCTGGCTGGCTGGCTGGCTGGCTGGCTGGCTGGCTGGCTGGCTGGCTGGCTGGCTGGCAGGCTGGTGGGCTGGCTGACAGGAAGGCAGGCAGGCTGGCTGGCTGGCAGGAAGGCCAGCTGGCAGGCAGGCAGGCAGAGAGGGAGACCGCATGACCTTGAAGAGAGAGTATGGGATGTAGGGGGAGAGACCGACTCACTCCCGAAGATAAGCCTAACACACTCGACCCATTAGCATGATGGCAGGGAGGAAGGCAGGCTGGATAGCAGGCTGGCAGGCTGGCTGGCTGGAAGGTAGGCTGGCAGGCAGGCAGGCTGGCTGGCAGGATGTTCCTGCAGGCTGGCTGGCAGGATGTTCCTGCAGGCTAGCTGTCAGGATGTTCCTGCAGGCTGGCTGGCAGGATGTGCCTGCAGGCTAGCTGTCAGGATGTTCCTGCAGGCTGGCTGGCAGGATGTGCCTGCAGGCTGGCTGGCAGGATGTGCCTACAGGCTGGCTGGCAGGATGTGCCTGCAGGCTGGCACATCCTGCCAGGGCTGGCTGGCAGGCAGGCTGGCTGGCTGGCTGGCTGGCTGGCTGGCTGGCTGGCTGGCTGGCTGGCTGGCTGGCTGGCTGGCTGGCTGGCTGGCTGGCTGACTGGCTGGCAGGCAGGATGTTCCTGCAGGCTGGCAGAATGTTCCTGCAGGCTGGCAGGAAACATTCAGAGGATGTTTGACCAGACGTCTTAATAATCAGCTAGGAACAATTAAGGACTTTTATAAAGCGGATCAGGACTTCACTTATTGGTGAGTACAAACAAAATACGGTCGCATTTTTGCTATGAACCTGTCGATTTTTCCCCTAGAGTTTTTTCATAAATTTTTCGGACCCATTTCTTTTTACATTTCTAGTTTATTTTTGCCCTCTATTTCTCGTTTACAAACTTACATGTTTACCTACGGGTCTCGTCCCCAAGGGGTTCGGAAACCAAGTGGTGCCCTTATGATGTACCTAATAGCCAAACATACAAGTAAGGCTTGTTTTGCCTTTCAGCCAGAGCAGTTTTCCATACTGTATTTCTCTTCTTTCAAAAATTTCCCTTTCTGTGGGTGGCCCCTTTGGCTCCTTGGAGCTAATATACAATACAGGTGTTTACCTTGGCTCTGCCAAGGTAAACTTTGGTTGCTTTGGTGGCTTAACCTGTGACCCAAGGTGGCTTTGGGTCACAGGTTGCAGCCAGTTGTCTTGCCGTCGAATTGAATGTGTGGCGGCCGCCTCCCAGGTAGGTACTCTACCTCTATTCCTTATCTTTGGTTATGTAGCTCCAGGGAGTCGAAGGGGCTCTTCACAGAAAACCAGCATTGAATGTAATGAAAAGCCAAAACCATCAGTAGTTTCAAAGCGTCGGTAGTTTCCCAGTACGACATAGAGTACTGGGACACCATGAGCATAGCTCTCATCCTGTAACTACACTTTACCAATTACACTTAGGTAATTATACACCACACACACTTAGGTATTTAGGTAATTACACACACCATACATACATATATACTGCAAACATTGTAATATGAAATAAATTAATTTTAAATATTGATAAAATATTCTTTCAACAGCCCAATTTACGCATGCTAGCAACAGAGCTGGTCAACAATGTTCGCAATTTGCATACTGAAGTCTACAACATGCTCAAAGAAGATGCTTTGGTAAGTTTGCATCTTCCTCTGTTTTCTTGAACTACAGGTTCTTAAAGTCTTCTTAAGGTCTTCTTAAAGGTATGAAAAATGATGATTAATAATTACTGTATTGTTTTCTGAAAAAAAAAATTGCTGCCATCTTGTCATCTACATAACCTCTGAATGGCCTATTGTCAGGCACTTTGTGTTTGTCTATCTGTCACACACTCCTGATGGAACATTGCAAATGCCAGCCACGACCAGTGCAACTTTCCATTTACTGACATAGCGGGGAGGTTTTCTAAACAGTAGGATGGGAAACACTAGAAAGTCCTCAGTCTATCCCTGAATGACCAACAGAAGGTACATTCCTCTACATTCAAAAGGGTCCTTGAAACAATACTTGAAATCCAATACACCTTCTAGTATTGCTCTTCTACTGTTAACAAATAACTACTTGCTGCCCACCTGAATACCATTGCTATCTATCACCAGCTGGGTCACGGAGTAACCTCTTCTTTAAACTAAATGATAGTGGCTTCATCTTCAGGATGTTTGGACTATTGTGCATTAGTCCTATGCTACCATGTACGCTTCACATGCATTTATCTTCAACGTAAAATTTGTCATTCAAGCTTACCGAGCCAGCATGGGCAGTGTGTGTTCCTCTTCTGTGTCAGGTCAATAAAGTGTTCAGCTGGGGCTTCTCCTCTTGTAGATGTCCAGGAATCTGGTTTTGGGTGTAGATGCTTGGTCTTTATTCAAACTGGTAGCTGCTTCTAGGTGCCCAAGGTCCCAGCTGTGCAAACCAACTGAGGGGAAGCCTGCACACATGAAACTGTTGAAGAGTTTCCCATAAGGTAGGTCCCTGAGACCTACAGAACCCTGTCCTTTGTTTGAAGAGGACTTGCCTATTGTAGACTCAGTGGGGTTAGGGGCTCAAGATGTTGCCACTGCAGCTCCCCCTCCCCCTTCCCGGGGAAGGGGGAGCTGAGCAGACAGCAGCATGGTGACGGTTGTGGCGTCATGCGCATTTGCTCATTTTTCGTTTGGGGGAGTTCTGTCCAACAGTTCGGCTTTCAGTAGCAATATTTTAACCAGATAGGGTTTGTTTTGGGGCACCTACCTTTCTGGGTGCCTGACCTGGTCGATGACAGACACAGAATGCTTCCAGCCACACGTGGGTTTCTATAGGCCATTGCTCCTCGTGTCTCTCTGAGGGGGACCAGGTTCTGGTTCGTGGTCCCCGATAGACCTAAGAACTCCATTCGCTTTGACTGATGCCAGGGTCTAATACAGTACATTCATATCAGTCTGGATCGCTCTGGGAAGCTTCCGGGTCTCACTCAGAAAATGGTGTTTCATTACATTCAACGCTGGTTTTTTGCACCCTGGTGTGCATCACTCTTTCTCTTCGATGGCTTCCCTTTGGCATTATTTGGCAGCATCTGACTATGTCTCATCTGACATATTGTCTGTTAACCTGTGATATATGCTCCCTTGCACACCAAGGTCTGCATCTTCCTATTAAGTACTGTGCAGGTATGTTAAGCTAGGTCAGCCTCGGGCATACCCTCGGTCACAGGATAGGCGAAAGTTCGGTACTTATAAGGCATTCATTTCTGCCATGTCTTGCTCACACATCAGAGCTTGAGGATTAATGCCATGCTAAACCCACATTTGTAAATGTTACCTGACTAGGATTCTCTGCTGCGCTGCCTGTTTATGGCCTTGGGCAAACTGCCATGCTGAGCTTCATTATTGTGACAGCTGTGTCAGTATCGTCTTGCTTCAGTTCATATGATCAATGTGTCATGCTCTTCATCCTTCAGCCTTACTACATATTTATTTTCCCATTTTCTTTTGAACTTAACCATTTATAATTTGTATTTAATGTGGAGTAGCTGAATGTGATAGCTTAGAAATTAAGCTTTAGATAGATATGAAAAGTAGCTGTCTGAACAGATCATTTAGTTGCTCCCAATCCCTCCCTGGCTCACTTTCCCTGTTGCACAGGATTATTTATAATGTGAGGTAGTATGAGGATGTAGCTCTGGTCTGTGAGAGCTCTCATTTGGTGGTTACTAGTGATGCCACTTTACGATTTGGAAGGGCTTTCAGTTTTTATGAATTGACTTCTGTTAACTCATTTTAGGTGGGGCTGAAAAATCATGAACATGAACAAATCTAAGGTCATGAACAATTCTTCAGTATTTTGCCATCCATGTATTTAAAAGCAGTTCTGTAATTGTAATGTGTAGCATAGGCTCCTCACACAATGTTCTTTATGTGATCCTCAGGTGACAGTTTTCTATCTAGAATCATCCTTAGATTTCTAACAAGAGTGGTAGATGGTTGGAACAAGTTAAGTGAGGAAGGTGGTGGCCAAAACCATGAATAGCAAAGTGTTATATGACAAAGAGTGCTAGGAAGATGGGACAACATGAGCATAGCTCTTATCCTATAAATATACTTAGGAATTACACTTAGGTAATTACAGTTGCATTTTACTTTGGTACACAGCCAAATGATTAGTTTGACTATGTATTATTTGTAGTAATTACACCATTTATAATGATTACAAAAACGTCACAAATTAAAACTGATGGCATTTATTGTAACTGTGTACAGGATATAAATAAAGGAATGGGAGACCATCTGCAAGGAACACTGGACCATCTTGATAGCTTGTTGAAATGTGCACATGAAAACGACAGTGTAATGTACTTTGTCTCCGAAGAAGAGGTAAGTTTTACCCCAATGAAATTACTTCAGTTTTATAAGTAGAAATAAAAATTGCAAATCAGACTTCAATTATCTCAGTAATAATTCGTAGTAGTAAATTATAATTAATTTTCTTTTAATTTTGTTATTCATTCAAATTTCTATGATATATATTTAACATCACTTTGTATTGCTCACCGTTAATTTCCTGGATCTCTTCTTTGTTATATATATATTATAATTTTCAACATGCAGATACAGTACTGCTTACATATTGAATGAACTGAATGGTGATTAATGATATAATTGAATATGGTTTCCCCACTGTATTCAGCTTGGGTCCCTACATGATATCTGAAATAACACACATTAAATGTATCAGAAGGGAATTACATATCATCAGTGTGTGTGAATCCTAATAATAATGAACCCTATAACAAGAACAAATGAATATAATGTAATGAATAAAATAATTTAGAAATATGGCATTGAGCAAAGTTAAACATGAGTGGTAGTGCCTCTCAATGGGGGGGGGGGAACCATGTTAGCTTTGATATGGGGCTTTACTTTGAGTGTATATTGCTCTGATTGTATTTGGTAATTAGCTGCCTCCATCACAGGTCATACATAATGAGTTTCATTGTTTTTAATTCATGTTCTTGTTTGTGGGACAATATCTTGAGGGTGCTTCTTTGCATATATTATGTTTGGTTTGGATAAAACTGAAATTCTTATTGTTGCCATAAAACAGAGTATTATTAAATCTGGTCAGTGTAGCAGCCTGGGACTAGATTCACGAAGCAGTTACGCAAGCACTTACAAACCTGTACATCTTTTCTCAATCTTTGGCAGCATTGTTTACAATTATTAAACAGTTAATGAGCTCTGAAGCACCAGGAGGCTGTTTATAACAATAACAACAGTTGATTGGTAAGTTTTCATGCTTGTAAACTGTTTAATAAATGTAACCAAAGCCGTCAAAGATTGAGGAAAGATTTATACCTTTGTAAGTACTTGCTTAACTGCTTCGTGAATCTGGTCCCTGGTTTTCTGGTGGCTGACCTGGATGTCAGAGTTGTATAACCTTCATGTCTGCTGCATGTCATGTCAATGAGTGAGGGACCTTCATGGCTGCTGCATGTCATGTCAATGAGTGAGAGACCTTCATGGCTGCTGCATGTCATGTCAATGAGTGAGGGACCTTCATGGCTGCTGCATGTCATGTCAATGAGTGAGAGACCTTCATGGCTGCTGCATGTCATGTCAATGAGTGAGAGACCTTCATGGCTGCTGCATGTCATGTCAATGAGTGAGAGACCTTCATGGCTGCTGCATGTCATGTCAATGAGTGAGAGACCTTCATGGCTGCTGCATGTCATGACAATGAGTGAGGGACCTTCATGTCTGCTGCATGTCATGACAATGAGTGAGAGACCTTCATGGCTGCTGCATGTCATGACAATGAATGAGGGACCTTCATGTCTGCTGCATGTCATGTCAATGAGTGAGAGACCTTCATGGCTGCTGCATGTCATGACAATGAGTGAGAGACCTTCATGGCTGCTGCATGTCATGTCAATGAGTGAGGGACCTTCATGGCTGCTGCATGTCATGACAATGAGTGAGGGACCTTCATGTCTGCTGCATGTCATGTCAATGAGTGAGAGACCTTCATGGCTGCTGCATGTCATGACAATGAGTGAGAGACCTTAATATCTGCTGCATGTCAAGACAATGAGTGAGGGACCTTCATGGCTGCTGCATGTCATGACAATGAGTGAGAGACCTTCATGTCTGCTGCATGTCATGACAATGTGTGACACAATCGTCTTGAGAATGCTCCAGGACGGACCGAAACATCATCGCCCCTTCACTTTCTAGTGTGTGGTTTGGTCAACATATTTCAGCCACGTTATTGTGACTCCTCGTCTGCGTGTGAGGGACTTTCATGTCTGCTGCATGTTATGACAATGTGTTAGGGACATCCTCTCTGCTGCATGTTATTTGCAGCAGAAAGGCAGGATAAATTTGAGAGGATTTTGCCAAATTTATTTCACACACACATTAGCATGATGCCCTTTAAGTGTGACTGGATATACATAAGATTGAGTTACCTGAGGAGGAGGGTAACTGCAGTTTCTTTATTCCTATGTTCACATATTCTTATACCTTTGTTTGAATTAGGTTCATGTTTTCAACCTAATGTGTCATGTTTTAAACAATATACAAGGACAAAAAGAAACCATATTCATTTCTTGTGGCATGCTCATGAGCTTTGCTTTCCTGAAAGTAGGTTTCATAAATAATAATTATGGTACAGTAGTTTGTATTTATGATTATTTTATATAATTGCAACTGGATACGTATAGTAGTGGGAAGAAGTTGTCATATATGTAGCTCTCACTGTGTTTAACATTTAACACTGATAGTATTTGAAGGGTAAATAATTAACGAGGAGAAAGGTTTTGATTTATGTATTATGTAATAATTTATCTTGAAGACCTGAGTAATTTATTAGTAAGAGTAATTGGCTTTTATTTGAATTTAGTGTTGTGTTAAATCCTTAAACTCCAATTTTCTATGATGCCGAGTTATAGTTAACTTTATTTTTCTTATAAATAGGGTGATCGGAAAAGAGTCCATTCCAAGGGAATATTTAAACTGAAGCTCAAACGAGATGGCCGACGAGGAGGATTTGAGAGAGAAGTGAGAGAATGGGGCCCAGAAGAGGTTGCAGTTTGGCTTGATACCCTACAACTGACTGAATACCAAGAATCTTTCATTCGTCATGATATTCGAGGCTCGGAACTTCTGAATTTAGAGAGAAGGTAAATATTTGTTTTCACATGCATATATAGTTATGTCAATCTTGATGCCAGCCCTTTGCAGTTCACCCCTTTGATAGTGCTGTGGAGTGAACTGTGAAACCTCTTTTGCCAAATCTTAAACCCCACAGCAGTCTACTTTGCAGCTCCTCTTTAATCAAAATGGAGTGGTTGGATGCTGGAATGGTCAGGTTAACCCCTTCTTTGTGGTGGGTGTCCCAGTTCCTGGTCCTCAAACAGGACTTGCCAGACCTTTGGCACATTCTTGGCTGGTTTGGTCTCCTAGCCAGTCTGCATGTCTGTAAACCAGGGATCTGGTTCTTTACCATCTCTCCAGGTTCAGATTTATGGTGAATTTAACAAAAGTCCCATTTGGTTCCATTGTAAGTTTGTATCGAGTTAAGCCTAGTCTGGGATTCTGTCAGCTTTCCTCTCCCCTCTGCCTGTGTCCCTTTTCCACTTAAATGCACATCAACAGCTGGTGGTATAGTGTCCCTGGGTCACCTGTTATTTGCTTGAGCAGCTGTGCGAGTGTCTAAACTTTGCCTATAGGTCAGTCATTGATGGAGGTGGACCTCGATAAGCCAGGGCAAGCAAAGGTATCCTGTGCTTGCCTCATAATGACTACGGGGGAGTGAGATTAGCTCTTTATGCCCTGCCCTCTAGCTATCCATACCTGATGCACTAATTACCCTCTCAACATTAACATTATCATACTGTATTTCTTTTTAAAGTTGTGGATGGAGTTAGCTTCATCAAGCTCTTTCTTCAATGCATTCTACTTGCCTACCACTGTACAGGGAACTTTCTTAAATCTCTTAGGACTCAACTGCACGTCCAGCTTCTACCGATGTCCACTTGCTCTACCTGTTTGCAATTTTAATAGCACTTTATTTATTCCCTCAAGATCTTGTATGTAGTTTTGATATCCCCCCGCCCCCCCTCTGTTTCTTCTTACCTCTAAGGTTGTGAGGGTGAGATCTTTCAATCTGTCCTCATAGCTGAGGCCTCTCAATTCTGGTACTAATCTAGGTGCAAACCTCTGAACTTATTCAAGTTTCTATTTATGCTTCATAAGGTGTGGGGTTCCATTCCCCAAGAATGAAAAAACATAAAACACAGCTTGAATCATTAGCTCATATAAAATCTTTTTACTTATGAAAAAATTATTGATAAGTAATACAATCTAATATGTATTTTCCTTTCAGAGATTTGAAGGAATTAGGTATAACTAAAATTGGCCACATCAAACGCATTCAGCAGGGCATCAGGGAGATCAAAGACAGCAAATCACATAGTTAAGAAAACATTTACTATTGCAGTGGAATGAAGACGTGTAAATATATTTAAAGCCAAATTGTAAGTGTACAACACAGAAGTAGTGTGATGCTTTGGGTACCTAATGCTGCAATACTGAAGGTTTTGTAGGGGGAAAGAAACCAAATAATTATCTTAAATGTTTAGTTGACTTTTTATAAAGAAATATCTTTCAAGACGTTCCATTATTATGTCATAATAAAGCATTGTATAAACAAATACTACTAAGCACCTGCCTACTGTTAGAACGTGAATTGGTTAATTTATCAAATAATTTTATGTAGAAGTTTAATTTTTAATTATATTAGAAGTAAACACATTCTGTGTTGGGTTAATTCAATTTAATAGTTTAATTGCAGATAATCTTTTGTTGTATACATAATAATTATTTATATTTTATTATATACTACAGGTATTAAAAATATAATGTTTGCCATATTAATTAGATGTAGTCTCTGTATAAAGAGACCAGAGATGATTATGTTAAATTAAAGTGAAATTAATTATCATATAAAGCATAATACTTATGTTCATGTCTTGAATTGTAGTAGCAATATTCCCTTGCTATTTATGTTCTGAGATTATTAATGCATGTTATAAATTAATGACAGTCTTGGTTAAATTTAAAGGTACCTCAGTTTTGCAAATGTTACTGACAGTGATTTGTGTAATTTTAATTTGTTTATGATACCATATATGTGAGCACAATACCAAGTGAAAAGTTCTACATATAAGGATGTCTCATGGTATATATTTGTTATCTGTTTACCATTACTGGAGTTTAACATGTCAGTATTACGTAAGAACATGTATTACTATCTGTGAAAGGCACTTAGCATTTAATCTTGTTGGATTTCTTATGATACTTATTAATTAATGTATATGTCTAGTCAAAAACATTTCCAGGTAATAAGGTTTTACATTTAATGGAACTGAACAGTTCAATATTTTTATTGACTTCCTTTTTATTCTTACTTTATTTAAGAAGTAAGCATTAGATAGAAATGGTATATAATTTATAGTAAGAAAGTCAGTTTCAAAATGTTCACCTGAGTGGTAGTTTGTGCATTGAATCACATGACCCTAGTATTATACTAGCACCGTAAACCAGTGTTATATTTCAGATACGTCCTATTCTGAAATGGTCGTTACTTTTGTATGGAATGACTGTATTTGTATTATGTATCTCTTAGTGTTGATATACTCTAGGTGTTAAATACTAAAGCTAGGTTAGTTATGATTTTATAGTACTGTTGCCTTCCGTATTTAAATAAAAGGTGTCAGCCAATTATGCAAATGGATACTGTCGGCTATAAATTTCATATTAGGGATCACATTTTGAATAAATTGTAATTTTATTATACCATTTGTACTGAATAAGTGTACTGTGGATCAGAATATTAAGTATGCCTGTTGTAAGGCTCCTTACCCATTGTTTTGGGTGTATGTCCATACCTCATACATATTGTGTATGTAGCAGTCTTGAGTTTACAGAATGTTGCGCGTGCATCAATGTGTGTGTCCCCATCATAGTCACCTGTCTCGGGGACACCACACCTTGTCAGCAGCTGCAGAAAAGGAGTTTCCTTGTCATCTTGAAACATTTAATGGATTGTATTGTTTTTATACGAAATATTTTTTAGCATAAATTCACTACAAATTTGGTACTAGGGTACCTATCATTAAGCCATCACATTTCCTTTTATGTCTAGATAAATAACAGTGTTAAAATTGTTATAAAATGTTTCCTTGTAGTAGGATTAGAAAAAAGATACCTTGGCTCGCATTACTAGAATGCACAGTTTAAATTTGTATTAATATTACACAGTGCTGTAGTTACTGTCGTACATAATTTGTCATCAGTGCAGGATGTTGAAGGGCAGTGCCCTGTATGTGCAATGTAATTGTTAGCACCTTAGCCTGTTTCTGGCTGCCTAGATTATCGCAGAGCTGAGCTCTTCTTGTGTATTATGGACACCTCTGCCCTTTCTTATACTATTGATGCTCTTAAGAAAAATTTTATTTATATATATATATATATATATATATATATATATATATATATATATATATATATATATGTGTATATCACGAAAATAAACACATGATTAAGAATGTGACAATGTTATATAGCACCTTATATATATATATATATATATATATATATATATATATATATATATATATATATATATATATAATAAAAACAAATTTATAAATAATGTACATATACATATAAAAAATAATAATAATAATAATATAATAATAATAATAATCAGGTACTGTATAGATTTTAAAGTAATTGTAATTTAATTTTTTTCCCATTTTGAAGGTTGTTTGTATTTATATGTATTAACTTGCTAAATGGTGCAAGAACTTTGGAAAACACATTGTAATGTACTGTTGCAGAACCAGCCGTACTTGTTGAGTATTGGTGGTGTTGTTGGTCACAAACATGTTGTTCCTTGCTGTGACTTGTTCCTTTACCTTACTCTACTGCATGTTCCTCTCTCCGCCTCCCTCTACACTAGTCTACTTCCTCTACAACCATAACAAACTGCAATATATCTATTTAAGTAGGTAATGCATATATTTGTGTGATGTGTATGTCTGTATATGTGTGTGTGTATATATATATATATAATATATATATATTGTATATGTACAGTATATATGAACTGTATATGTGACTGAGAATAGGACACACACAGATATGAATATACTTATGCATAAAGATGTGTGTTTTCATCCAAAAGTTTAAGAATATGACTGCATGAAGACTGACATGCTGATGAAAGCTGAAGGCTGACAGAAGGTGAAGGTAGGCTGACAGAAGGTGAAGGTAGGCTGACAGAAGGTGAAGGTAGGCTGACAGAAGGTGAAGGTAGACTGACAGAAGTTGAAGGTAGGCTGACAGAAGGTGAAGGAAGGCTGACAGAAGGTGAAGGTAGACTGACAGAAGGTGAAGGTAGGCTGACAGAAGGTGAAGGTAGACTGACAGAAGGTGAAGGTAGGCTGACAGAAGGTGAAGGAAGGCTGACAGAAGGTGAAGGAAGGCTGACAGAAGGTGAAGGTAGGCTGACAGAAGGTGAAGGTAGACTGACAGAAGGTGAAGGTAGGCTGACAGAAGGTGAAGGTAGGCTGACAGAAGGTGAAGGTAGACTGACAGAAGGTGAAGGTAGGCTGACAGAAGGTGAAGGTAGGCTGACAGAAGGTGAAGGTAGACTGACAGAAGGTGAAGGTAGGCTGACAGAAGGTGAAGGTAGGCTGACAGAAGGTGAAGGAAGGCTGACAGGTGAAGGTAGGCTGACAGAAGGTGAAGGAAGGCTGACAGAAGGTGAAGGTAGACTGACAGAAGGGGAAGCTAGGCTGACAAAAGCATCAATACTCAAGGTGCTTAAGCAGATATAATTCTAGTACTGTATTCAACAAATCAGCACTTGGATCTAACACCACATAGTCATATTCATAAACTTTTGTAGCTATCTATTTTGTATATTTTTTGAATGTGTACAAAATATTTATTGTGTATTTTTGTATTTTCCGTATTTCTCATTGTTGATCAACTTCTCACTATAATGCAACTGAAAAGCTTGTGCTGGAAAAAAAAACTGACAAACTTTTCATTTCTTAATTTGCATAATAAATTCCACACCTGAATAATTTTAGGTGGGAAGTATTGCCTTTAACTCATAGTATCAGTGGTATCTTGTTTTAATGTTGTTCCTTTTGTATGTATGTGTAATGCAGCAGTGGATGTGCAACTGGTGTTGTGCTTCAGCTCACAGGTTGTACACACCGACATTATGAATGGTAGTCGTGCGCTACTTGGCTACGATACATGATCCAGTATTGCTGAACTGTGGTATATTTTCATAATAATTAGTCCAGAATTCACACCCTTAGGGGTTTCACTGCTTTATCTGAGTGGTACCATGACACGCAATTTGCATTATGGGATCATGATGTGTGGTCGCATGAGCCAGGCTACAGCTTGAGTCGCCACCACTGACCAAGGCAGCTATCATTTTCATCCAGGAGGGGTATACTACCAAACTAATAATTGTTCACTTATTTTCATTCATCACTATTAATGTGTATCAATATTTCAGAAATGTGAAGAAGCAAGGTAATGTACATACTTAATTTTGTTTAGTGTAAGCTATTTGAGATGGCTTCCAATGAGTGATAAAGCACATTATACAATATACTGACAAGGGGTCACAATAACATGGCTGAAATGTTGACCAAACCACACACTAGAAAGTGAAGGGAGGACGACGTTTCGGTCCGTCCTGGACTATTCACAATCGATTTGAGAATGGTCAAGGATGGACCGAAACGTCGTCGTCCCTTCACTTTCTAGTGTGTGGTTTGGTCAACTTATACAATATGCATTATTAATACAGCAGTTTTCAAAATAGTCTTGTATGGATAGATTTATGATGAATGCTGTGGTATCACATTCCTGTTACTCCTTTTCATACCCAAGTTAGGGTGTTAGCTCACCCCTCCTTGATGACTGAGCCAATACGTGTATAATGATTCATTCCATTTCCACCCAGGCTATCTTAAGGCATCACAGTATTATAGCTCTCCATTACATTCCATTACATACTCCTAAAAAACAAAAATAAAAAAATATTAAAATTATTTTTCTATTTAACAACATACTGTGCATGTTGTGTATTTTTTGTAATTCATATAGCCAATATATATATATATATATATATATATATATATATATATATATATATATATATATATATATATATATATATATATATATATATATATATATATATATATATATATATATATATATATATATATATATATATATATATATATATATATATATATATATATATATATATATATATATATATATATATATATATATATATATATATATATATATATATATATATATGTATGTTTATCGCACCTCGACTTACGATTGTGACACCTCAATCGTAAGGAAGACTCGATCTATACACCTCGATCATATTCGAGGTATATAGTGGCACCTCGACTTACGATTGCCCCAACTTAAGATAATTTCGAGTTACACTATAAATTTGATCGAAAAATGCAACTCGACTTACGAAAGTGTCGTCAACTAACGATATTCGTTGATACATGTTTGGGTTGACCGAACGCATGGTTCCCGGTTACGCGGGCAGAGGTGCCACGCTTATAAGAAATTCCATTTTTGTGGTGATTTTTGCTTTTTGAACATAAAACTGATTATTATATATCATGCCATGTGTCCCAAGAAAGTCAGTGGTAAGGTTCAACATAGGAAAACACATGTAAGAATAACCATAGAGGAAAAAACAAGAGATCATTCGTAAACATGAAAATGGTACTCGTGTTGTTGAACTAGCTAGGCAGTACACAAATCTTCAGAAGAGGAGGAGGTGGCGGCATTAGAGGATGTCCCTTCCTCATTAATTAAGAAAATGTGTGCAGTATGGGAAGGACTGCAAAGTTTTGCTGAAAAGAATCACCCAGATAAAGCTGTAACAGCCCATTGCATTGATCTTTTTAATGACAATGTGATGCCTCACTACAGACAAGTGTTGCAAAGAAGGGAAAAACAATCTTCAATGGAACGATTTCTAGTGAGAAAATCAAGCAGTGAGCCAGAAGCAAGTCCTAGTGGTATGCAGGCAAAACGTGCCAGAGTGTGTACCCCAGAGAAGACCTCACTGCCTGATGTTATAATGGAAGGGGACTCCCCTTCCAAACAGTAACACCTCTCATCCTTTCCCCCTCCTCACCATCTTCCATATGCCATCAAGAGTCCTCCATAAAGGTAAGATAAACATATGTACTGTATTGTAGTTAGAGAAAAAAAAATTGTGTGCAGTATAAAATGTATTTTTAAGTTAATATTTTTGAGGGTGTGGAACGTATTAATTCAATTCTCAATTCCCTTCATTTCTCACGGGAAAAATTGTTTTGACTTCCGATATTTCGACTTACGATACGTTTCTGGGAATGGATTACCATCGTAAATCGAGGTCCCACTATATATAAGTATATATATATATATATATATATATATATATATATATATATATATATATATATATATATATATATATATATATATATATATATATATATATAAAACAAACTTCCAGTGCAGTTGCTTTGTTTATCAGTTTATTTCCATAAAAAGTATGACATTTGCCAGAATTGTCATGATAATTGATAATTATGCTGTATGATCCGTGCCTGAACCTTGTTGATGGTGTTATCTTTCTATAGTGTTAATATTTGTATAGCATTAACTTTCTATGGTGTTGAACTTTTTTATGGGAATTATTCCTGTAGTTAGTAAACTTTTCATGTTTCAGGCAGAAATGTAATCCCACTTTCTTGTTGATAGATATGTACTATCTTAGAATAGATATGTATGGTATGATAATATAGATGTGTACAGTCATAGATATGTACAATCTTAGAAATACTGTTTGCAATCTTGGATGTGTACAATCCTTGGAATGTATAACAGAAATGTGATCTTATTTGATGTTTGTTTTAACAGCACTTGTGTGACATTTTTATTATTTACACTACAGTATAAAGTATGCAAGTATGGTACAAGTTAGATACAGTGGAACCTCGGTTCTCGTATGCCCCTGTTCTCATATTTTTCGGTACTCGTACTCAATTTCTCCAAAAAAATTTGATTCGGTACTCGTTGTTTGCCTCGGTGCTCGGAGTATATTCATACACGTACTGGTTCACCGCAAGTGTGACGCTTCAGTTTACCAGTGTCTCCCGCCTAGTGATGATCGCGCTTGAATTCTTACTTTAGAATTTCATTGTTTTTGTGCTTTTTTGGTTTCTGAACATAAAAGTTCTTATTATATATCATGCCTTGGGTTCCAAGAAAGTCAGTGGTAATGTTCAACCTAAGAAAATAGTTGTAAGGATGATGATAGAGGAAAAACAAGAGATCATTCATAGTGAGACAATGTGATATCTCACTACAGACAAGAGTTAAAACATTGGGAAAGACAAGTGTCTATAG